ACTCTATCCGATACAAAAAAAAATATATGAAATCTACAACTCCATATAATTTTAGTTCATACTAAATATCTCTGTATGTGCATAATAATTTTAAATTAAACTTTAGTTGTAAAATCAAAAATCAAAAATCAAAAATATCTATAAATAGCTCATAAAGAGACAAATACTTCGAAAACCATTATATCGTGTGTAATAAATAATAATAGTGTCAAATGTCAAGTATCTATTTTTGTTTGTTTTTGAATTACAATAAATCGAGAAAATTGTTATTTTATCAAATTTCGTCAAATTTTAAAATGTAGGCTCATAAAAAATATTTGTTTTTAGTATCGAATGTATCATATGTATTTAATTTTCAAATCTAAGKTATAAATATTAAAGAATATTAATTATTATGCCATAAATAATTTTAAATTTTCGTAATTTTGATGAATTTCGTCAAAATTCTAACTATAAACACTTAAAAAAAAATGTATATAAATATATATATTGAATATTTTTTAATTAGTAATTTTAAAATGAAACATCTTATAATGAACCTTGTATTACGTTTTTAAGTTTTATGACCGTACAAAAGTTTTTTTTACCGAAAATTATAGAAAAAATGTCTAAATAGCTCRAAAGAGTTTAACTATTAAAAAAATATTATCATCGTGTATAGAAAATGTTAATATACACATTAAATGAAAATTTGAAGTAATATTTGTTTTGGAATAAATTCAGAATAATAAAATTGATTTTGTTTAATATGCTAATTTGCGTAAAAATGATCTCCCCTCATGGTTATTTTGAAAATTAGGTACTGAACATTTTTACTAACGAATTTGTACTGACTTGGCCAATTAGAATAATTTTGGTACCAGTTGTAACCAGAAACAGTTCCCAAAGTTGAAAATTGAATCATTTTAACTTCCCCATGAGGTGAGGTTACATATTTTAAAACCATATGCATTCTTTGCTCAAAATCTATAACAGTCGCATATTATCATTATAAAATCAATAAGTTCATGCTTTGCTTACAATCTAACATGAATGTATTATTTTATTGGTGTACCTAGTACCTACATGTCATATTTCGGGGAAAAACTGCAATATATACGGGTGGTGTTCGATAACCCAAATAGTTATCGTCGACAAAACGTTTACAACAAGTTATGACATTATAACTTCTATATTATTATAGTATGGTATTCAAACGCCAACAGAGCTCGTATCCATGCTTCTCACACGATTATAATATTATTATAAAATATTATGCATAATATGTATATTATATAAACTTAGCTATAATCTATTAAGCTATATGGTTGAGTAGTTATCAATTTATCATAATTAATTTAAGATAAATGGTAAATTAATTAGATTTTTTAAATTCAATTGCCTTACCGCCTAAAAAAGTTTGATCCTCCTCGATTGGCGATTACGTATTGTACTATTGTCTACTGCTTGTACTACTACAGTTGTACACCATGTACTRCAAGGCCAAGGTGATATTTAAAAATATGTTCAGATTGTTGTATTTATGTTTCATTAGTAACAATACTATTTTAATTTATATTAAGACGTATTATATAATAGTATCTCATAATTATCAAGATAAACGCGTAGGTATTGACCAAAAATCCGGTAGAGTATATTATACGGGCGTACTCAATTCATTTCTAAATATATACATATACGACTATCAGTATTCAGTATACCTATTATTATTACAGACTATACAGTCTTCATCGTGACTTATTCCAAGATATGCCGCATTTTCAACTTGTTCATGATACTGGCATATTGCGTGATGTTGGCCTTCACATTAATCTTTTATAATATATCGTTTAGCATAGGAACAAGTGTATAATTTAAATATTTTATTACATATTGTCTAATATATTTAAGTTGGTTATGCTATACAAGAAAAAAATATAAATATWAATGATATAAAAGCATATATTCAAATTTCAGAGGTTTCTACTATTTTTCAAATAGCAGGTTGCTACGGGTGAGTTGTTTTATATTATTTGCTTATAATACTATTTATTTATTTAAATGGTATCTATTTTATATTTATTACTAAAACGCGCAGAACATACCTAATTACTATTGATTTTATAATTTTGTTAATATAGGTACCTATAATACATATACATGTATACCTATGTTTTTATCGCTAATATACTATTATCTACATGACTATATAAATACATAATAATATAATAGTARATAATTAGCCAGTTRGGTATTTCTAAGGTTATATTATATTACAAATCAATACTAGTAATATTAAGGTATTAAGTAAAATAATAATTATAGATGAACCATGTACAATTGTAGTAGAATTATAAAATGCATATACATTATTGGGTATTTATAGTCTTAAGTCAATGTAATACAAAAATATATATAAAAAAAAAAATAATAGGCTATGTGTAATGTGTATGTATATAGGTATTAGATATAAATTTGATATTAGTACCCTAACTATTAATCGATTTTAACATATTATTTAGTTACTATTTAATCGGCATACTATATACTATTTTCCAAATAAGAATAAYTAATAGTACGTAGTACTTATTAAATTAAATATTACATAATTACATAATTCAAAGTATATTTTAGAACATTCATAAATATTGTTTTGAAAGGCAATTAATATAGAAATATTAATTATTTAAAAAATATTTTATTCTCGAGGATTGAAATTGACAGGTAAAGTTGTTRGGTGRGGGCAGTAAATATGTATTGTATCGTATATTTATTATACTTAATATCCATTAATGTATAATAGGTAATCGAATCCACGGCGAATGAGGTATATTATTATATAGGTACTTAATATAAACATTTGCATCACTAGTTCCTTTAAGGGGCTTATCTAGACCAAATAGTTACAGGTAACAAGAATAAAGCGGWGCCTTCATATAATTTTATCTGTGATTGAACATAAAAAAGCACAAATTAATTTATAGGTTTATATGTTATAATATACTTAAATATTAAAACTAYACGTCTATACCTATTATATATATATATAYMTATTTATCATCTTCAGTAGTGGCTGATTACAATAAATTACGAAAATACGATTGTAATTATGTGTATTCAAATTTAACACATCTATTACAGTAACCGTCTAGAAGTTTAAACATCATCTTATGGACAGACGTATAGCAGAACGTTGTCCACTTTTTAATTTTAATTTTTGTCTGAAGACTATAGTACATTACTAAAAATGACCGATCATGATGAACTTCAAGGGAGATTTCTGCAGGTTGCAAGTTAGATCTTTAGTTATAGTATTTTACATCATTTATATTATGTTCTAAGATGCACGTGTCTGCATTGTCAAGTTAGATAAAGAAAAAATAATGAAAATCCTAAGATTATTTTAATCAAATAATGTTGTTTTGCATAAGTTTATAATTATGATTACCAAAAAGTTAACCGTTTCCACTTTGAATTGTTTTTCGCTGTATTTAGGTAAATAATGAGGTGCTGTTAAATTCAAATTAAATACATCTATTACCTACCTATACAGATTATAATGACTTAAAATGACTATAACGTACTGATGTAACCAGCTTGCTAGCTTTCTTAATTTCCGAAGCTCAACCATGCTGTTCGGCMCGCAGTGGGTTGCCATCATATTGTGAAATACAAACTATTTTGTTTTTCCCGCACGAGTGCGAATTATTGTTTGGACACGGCGTAATAATATATATTAGGTTGAACAACACCTAGATATAAGTTTTATGTAGTTAAAATAATGAAATTTCTTCCATACGTTTGAGTTATACGAGTACATTATCAAATTTCGAAAAACGCTGTCAATGGTATAGATGACCTGAAGCCGAAGCAGAAGCCCTCCAGGTACGCCACCGCTACACAGTATACGCATAGTACCTACTTTGCTATAAGAGGTATAAAGGCTTAACTAGCTAAAACGAGCTTAGGATAGCTAAAACAAATATAGATAGGAGTCATCGGCCCCACCCAGCAAGTATACCTATTATTATAGCAATAATAATTCGAGAGCGGCGTCGTGTCGCTTGAAATCATGCGTCGTATATAATATTACATATACGCAGGTCACCTTATACCGCGAAGTGTATAATATTATTATAATTTATTCGGTATTTATTATTATTATACAACGCGCGTTTTCGGAGTTTATGATGTACCTATAAAATATAAGTCCGTGCAGCGGAGCCCGCGTCGTCCGTAACCGCGGTATCCTCTTGGTAGCCGCYCGGGAAAAACCGGTCGGCCACCGTTGAGGCGGCGTCGTCGTCGTCGTCGGAGGCAACAACTGGCGTTCGTAATAAGGGTAGGGCGGCAAGAGAAGAAACAATCAAGCGACACAAGCGGTCGACGTCTCCGCTGCGTCCGTGCCGCGCGCCTACGTAAACGACGGCCGCGCGGTGTGCGTGGTGGCGCGCCCAGTGGCCAACCAGAACGCTAACGGGCGTGGCCTGCACCGGCTTCCGTGCGTTTCCCAGGGCACCCATTGGGTCCCCGGCCGCGGCTGCTCGCGCCCATGCACCCGCCGCCGATGACGACGATCGGGTAGCGCACCCGAGGAGCAGCCGAACGCGCGCGCGTCGATCCGGTGCGGTGTACTACTACTACCGCCGCCGTCGTCGAATACAACAACGYCGCCGCCGCGCCTGGTTGTTACCGTCGTCGTCGTCCTCATCGCTGCTGTTGCTGCTGCTGCTGTTGCCGCCGCCGCTCCTGCTGCTGTTGTTGTTGCCGCCGTCGTAACATACACACTCATACACACACACACGTACGCGCGCGCACGTTACACACACTCGCGACCGTCGCCGTGTGGAGAGACCGCTTCTGACTTTCGTGTGCTACAGTCCAGTGAGTTCCGCAATAATCACCACTTACCGCGGTCGTCTTCTTCTTCGCCGTCTTCCTCTTCGTCGTCGTCGTCGTCGTCGTCGTCGTCGTCGTCGTTGTCTTAAAATATTTAGTGTACTTATATTATTATATGCTTGCATTAAATAATATATAATATAATATTATTTGTATTCACGTATATAACGGTGCAGTGCACGAAATATAATATATTCGTGCCTATACAGAATATAATTCACACGAGCCTTGTAAGTATTAAAAATTATTTTATTTCAAAATTAATTTTTTTTTGTCTTACAATCATACTCTGCTCGCCGTCCATTTCTATTTTTTCTTTTTTTTTTTTTTACTCAGTTTTTCACTTCACCATCGTCTTGACTTTTATTTATAAATACATATTTTAAAGGTATAGTTAAGTTTGCGTAAAGATTTATATTATATTATCCATTACGAGGTGCGCAATATAGGCGCTAAATAGGTGCATATATAATGTCAGCTATTATGTAAATTTAATATTATAATATATCGTGTATGCAACGTACACATCCGATTTGATCGTGTCAACCCGTTGATTACGGTTGGTGCACGCGAAATACRTCGTAATGGACTACCGGTGTTCGTCGACCGACCCGGTGCGTAACCGCGGTAGTAGTTTACCGGTGGTGGGGACGAATTAATGGCGGCCACCGCGGCTACCGGTGTTCGGTCGGCTACCGGACTCCGCCTATACCCCTTTACTCTTCACCTCCGCGTGATCGTTTTCCACTGCGCACAACATCCGCAGCCGTCGGACACGAACAAAACCGCTCCTCTCCGGTCGGAAAATTTCAATTGGTATACCGACTAAATTATATTATTGTATTACATAATATAATATTAAAATATTATTCATTATTTTCTCCACGTCACGATGGTTTCAATCTCTCGCGTGCTCTCGTCGTCCACAGGGTAGTTCGTTCGTATACATCGTGTTCCGTTTGTTGTTTATAGTCTACAAGACGTGGTCATATTATTATAGAGCGGAATACCTCATATTAGTTGTTGGCTTCCATAATATAACAAGCCTTTCGGATTTTTACGACAGATATTATACCTAGGTACGTTTATTCCGCTGCATCGTTGTTTAGGTATCTGTATTATATCCACAGTAAACTTATACCACATAATATTCGCTTCTGGTGACGGCACCGCGACTGTTGATTTATGCTGTAGGCATTGTAGATTATTGTTATTGCGCACTTTTGATTTTTTACATTTAAACTTTTTGTTACTCGACCTAGCTCTGTTTTATAGGTATAATGTATAAAAATTATTTTCAACACACCACTGCGGGTGTTTAAATTACGTCATCTGCCACGTCTGCGCGTTTAAAATAAATAAGGAGCTTTTGTTCSCATCTTTTTCCCAGTTTTATTTGCCATCGATATCAGAATGTTTCTTCTCCGAAGTAAAAGCTACTTTTTTGTTTGGAGCGCCTTGAATTACTCCCGTGCCGCAACAAGTCGGTCACCACTGCAGTATGTGGTCCGCTTCAGGTAGGCGTCGCGTCAATGCGGTGCATACATAGGTATAATACGTATGTAATTGTCGGCACAACTGTCTGATTTCGCTAACTCCTACTCTAAATCCTTGAACGCCACCTGGCTATTGTTGTCTTTTACATAGTATAATATATTGCGTATAGTGTTTGGTTTTTTTTTGACGCACGCGTAACCGCCGAAAACCCATTGGTAATAAATAATAATAATAATAATAATATTGTAATATATGTTATAGTACGATGTATAAAACATAATACAAATACAATGACTTTCATTTTGCGCTTGTGTTGTTTTTATAGCGTTTTGTTTTCGTCGTCGCAGTCCCGGAGCCGTAGCCGCCTGCAATAGATATACGCGCCCGTTAGATCACCGCACGTGTTGGCGGCGCATATTGCAGGATATCGATCTGAAAATCACTACACGTCGTAATATTATTACAATAGTTGTGTACATTTCCTACCCGAGTAACCTTCTCGTCCCGTTTCTAACGAGACGACCGAGATTTGGTCTGAGTCACCGCAGTCGACGGACGTCCGTTATTATATTATTATCGTATAATCAGCTCGTGGAGCGCCAGGCGAGAACGCTGCAGCGGCCCGACCATGTACGCGGTAATACAGCTCGACTCGGAAAACCACAGACTCCGACCCAAGCGGGTCAAAATGGAGTTTGTGTGCAAATACTGCAACCGGACGTTCAACAAACACTATTCGCTGCTGATACACGAACGCAACCATCTGCCAACCGTCAACTACCGGTGCGAGATGTGCTACAAGTCGTTCAAACGGCAGGACAGCCTGCAACAACACAGGTCAGTGTCGAAATCGCATTGAGTCCCTGTATATCATATATATATGATGTATATATAATATACCACCTACTGTATTATATATATTATTATAGTACCTACCTATAATGCACACATTATTTGTATATATTTAAACTATCACTATACTATACTACGCTATACTACTACTATACTTATATCACTCTATATTATGTATTATATACTTACTGTATCAAATATATACTTCGTATTGAAACTGCCGTGTACATATATAATATTGTYGTCATCAACGTTGGATTTGAGGTTGTAAAAGCCGTCTTCTCCTTCTCCCGGAATTCCTTTGAATTTTTATTCACAATCGAAAAATTCTTTAGAATTTCGAATTAGCGGGCTTATTATATAATATTTGTATCGCTAACCGCGGTTGCAGTCTCCAAAAGACCATCTTCGTGACCCAGAACCCGTTGATGACGATAAAATAATTCTACTTATACCTACTATAATGTGTTATATATACCGTGTTATTATATTATACTTAATACTTATATTAATACAAAATGAACTTCTAACGCCATTTTTGGAGTCAAACGCACAACCTATGTATCTACATTAATTAATTAACTATAAATCTGACTAATATAATAAGGTCACTAAAATTCTATTAACATTTGCTTTGAGGTAYAAAAACAAAACATGTATATGATGCGATGTATTTGTATTTGGCATCTACGCTCAATAATTTTCTTGATAATAATAATTTGGCACTAACTAACAGGGAATTAAATTGACTTCAAAAATTAGTTGTGTTCATTTTGGATACTTTAATACTTCAAGAATATATGTGAATACATAATATATATTATACAACATACAACTATATTTTTAGAGTATAATTACCTAAATACAAACATTCAGTGATGTTACGTATATATACAAACTCCGTGTACGGTATTACTATATTACTACGGTGGTTGATTTTATTATTACTACCTATATAAGTCTGCGTTCTAAGTATAGGAAATCTTTTCACTTATTTCAATTCTTGTTCTATATATTATCCTCTTGCAGTATTTTCATATTCTATACTTATTACCGTTTTAAAACATGTCGACACATCGCCTGTTAATTTTTTTTGTGATTAAGATGTTAATTTAATTTAATATCTTAATACATTTTAACAATAACAAATAAAATTTAATTTAATTTAAAATAAAAATTAACTTAAATCAATAAAACAAAATAAAAACAACCATTCTTGTCTGTTATTAACATTGGGTTTTGGATTTTTCGCTATTTTTTATTTTTTTTTTAGATGTGGCCACTCAAGGTGAACTACGGATTCTTCAAGACAACCCTTATTTATAAAATCTATACCTACCTAAAAAAAATAAAATCTTTTATAGGCCACATTTCTTACTGTATATTTTAAGCCATAGGTACTATTTAATTCTTCTCTATATTAATAGTATCAATGTAAAAACAAAAAATAAAATAAAATAAAACAAAAGAATTCGGTTCATATAATTTACCTATTCACGTTATTAATATAATAATACGGCATGGTCGCTTGTTTTACTAATACCGGTTTGAGGTCACATCTCACATAGACTTATCTCTATCTTATACTTATGAATGATCTCTCTAAAAAATCAATTCTCATGAAAATATGATCTAATTGTGTGTACTATATATGCCACATATTATTTTCAAATGTTATTCTTCAATGTTTTTTAATTTTAATTTTCTCTCGGACTTCTTTTGTTTATGGTTTTTATTTTTCCAATACAGATCAACTCATAGTCCAAATTACAGAGCTGGGTACGCATTGCAGCTTTGAAAAAATTGTGATATGCTAAATTATTGGCAAATTGTTGTAATGAAGTAAATGTAGATAGACAGACATTAACTAGGTAGTTTTTAAGTTATAGTACTAATAAAGATATATATATATATATATATATTTGAGCAGACTGGTTGTTTTTTTTTTACTTTTCAAATTAAAAAACGAAAAAAACTCAAGTACAATTTTTGAATTTACTATTTTTAAATGTAAATCAATTAATAATTTATTAACAATGTATGTTATCTATAGTAAAATAAAAAGTCGTACAAATCAATATTATATTCCTAATATTTTTATTGTAAAACGTTGATAAAATAATGAGACATACCAATGTAATATTAATTATTGTAGAATAGTAGATCTATGTGAAATCCATGTTATGTATAGAAACTATTCACAAACAAATTCTTCAAGTAAAATTTTTATTTGAATGTTCCTTAATATTTTCTTATTTGAAATTCGCTAGTTAGGCAAATTACAATATAAGAAATACCTTTTGAAATGTTTAACGTTCTAAAAAAAGCGGGATTATCCTACAGTAAAATAATATTACCATTTAATAAGATAAAATATATGTGTTATTGTTTTTTATCTTATATACATATATGTATAATTTGATGATAATTTTATATGAACTAATATGGTTTAGAATTTTGTAAATAATAACCACTTATTGTTAGACATT